CGTCTATCCGGTCATCCTCGATCACCACTGCGCAGGGAGAAAGCGCATCAGCCGCGTGGTCTCGGGGGGCGGCGGCGGGAGTGGGGCCCGCGTCCTCACGCCCCGCGCAGGATCTACTCTATGTTCCCGCGACACCACTCCAAAACCCGTGCCCTCCTAACCCGAACTCTTCTGCAGACCCTACCTGGTACCAAACAGGAGACCCAAACCTCCTCCCTGTGTAGGAACACCCCTCTTCCAAAGACTCCCAGTGAGAACCCTCCTGTCACCCGAGCCTTCCTCCATCCAAACTGCTCAGAAATCTCTCCCTTCGACAGAGACCCCTCCTCACACTGGGCTCAGATGAAACTGTCACCTGGTGTAACCCTTTCCGCCACCTGAATCCCTGTCCTGACTCTGGCTCCCGGAGTCCCCTCCCCGTGCAAACCAGCAAGACAACCGAACCCTTGGCCTCCCTGCCCTCCAGTAACATCCACCTACTCAGTTTAGCCCAAGCAATCAGCCCACCATCCTGCGTTCCCAATGCCAAGCATCCCCAAACACCCCGAGGCGGCCCCTCCCCCTCGACCAGGAGCCAGGACTCTTTTTTTTTTTCTTTCCAGAAGTGGCGAGCTTCGAATCCGGGACACTGTATTCCCGGGAGAGGGAAAGAATGGGACAAGTCCACAGCAGGGACCCTCCCCACCCCGGGCGGGTGCGCAGCTGGCTGCGCTGGTCTGCGGCAAGAGCAGCTGCCACTTGACAGGGAACGGCAGCCTGAGGACGCCGGGCGAAGGGTTTCTGGGTCAGGCGGCGACTCCGGGCCCGGGCCGCGTACCTCTCTTGGCTCGGCCGATCTGGCCCAGCTTGGGGGGCCGCTTGGCCTGGTTGCCGGCGAAGAAGGAGTTGGTGTCCTGCAGGCGGCAGCTGAAAGAGAGGTCGGAGCCCTCGGGGTCTGCGCCGAAGCGGCCCATCTTGTCCTCGCCGTAGGGTAGGATCTCGGACATGGCGGGCACCGGGCGGGGCGGGGGGAGGGGGGGGGGGCGGGGGGGGGGGTCA